GTTCTTAGAACCAGTTTACAGGAACTCAGTTACTCGTAAATATTTGACTGCGATTAAATTTTCAATGAGGCGTTGAAGTACCACGTGATGGACTCTACGCCAATCAGACGTCGCTAAACGCGTCGTTAATTGTGGGATTAACTTAATAAATTAAAAATAAACCGACCCTTAGTTTTACAATTTTACAATATTTCGATTTTGCAATATTTAGAGTTTTAATTTTTCAATTTTTCAATTTTAAATTTTTCAGTTTTTCTAAAATTTCGATTTTACGATTTTCAGTTTTACGACTACACAATTTTTCGATTTTTTAAATGTTCCGAGGTTTCAGTTTTTCAATTGTATAATTTAAATTAAAAAAAGGAAAATTTCAAAAAACGAAAAATTGAAAAATTCGAACCTTGCAAAATTGAAATATTGAAAATTTAACTTTGAAATTCAGAAAAACTGAAAACGCGAAAAATTTAAAAATTAGGAAATTAAAATTCTAGAAACTGAAAAATCGAGCTTTTAATTTTTATAGTTTTCGAATTTAAATTTTCAGTATTTTGATTTTTCAACTTTTGAATTTTTCAGTTTTTTGATTTTTAATTTTTCGATTTTTAAGTTTCACGATTTTTCCACTTTTCCATTTTCAATATTCAGACTTTTAAACTTTTGAAGTTTATCAGTTTTTGACTTTTATCATTTTTCGATTTTTGGATTTTCTAATTTCTCATTATTTCGATTTTTCAATTTTTCGATTTGCAATTTTTTGGGTTTTTGAGCCAGTTTACAGAAACTCAGTTACTCGTAAATATTTGATTGCGATTAAATTTTCAATGAGGCATTAAAGTACCACGTGATGGACTCTACGCCAATCAGACGTCGCTAAACGCCTCGTTAATTGTGTGATTAACTTTATAAATAAAAAATATTCTATAAACCGGCCCTTAGTTTTACAATTTTACAATTTTTCGATTTTTCAATATTTAGAGTTTTAATTTTTCGATTTTTCAGTTTTTCAATTTGAAATTTTTCAGTTTTTCTAAAATTTCGATTTTACGATTTTCAGTTTTACGACTTTAGAATTTTTATATTTTTTTAATGTTCCGAGGTTTCAGTTTTTCAATTACATAATTTAAATTAAAGAAAGGGAAATTTCAAAAAACGAAAAATTTAAAAATTCGAGCGTTGCAAATTCGAAATATTGAAAATTTAATTTTGAAATTAAGAAAAATTGAAAAGGCGAAAAATTAGAAATTAGGAAATTAAAATTCTAGAAATTGAAAAATCGAGCTTTTAATTTTTATAGTTTTCAAATATAAATGTTCAATATTTTGATTTTTTAACTTTCGAATTTTTTAGTTTTTTGATTTTTGAATTTTTCGATTTTTAAGTTTCACGATTTTTCCACTTTTCCATTTTCAATATTCAGAGTTTTAAACTTTCAATTGCTCAATTCTTCAGTTTTTGATTTTTATAATTTTTCGATTTTTCGATTTTTCACTTGTGTAATTTAAATTAAAGAAACGAAAATTTTAAAAATCGAAAAATTTAAAAATTCGAGCATTACAAAAGTGAAATATTGAAAATTTATCTTTGAAATTAGGAAAAATTGAAAACGCGAAAAATTTAAAAATTAGAAAATTAAAATTCTAGAAACTGAAAAATCCAGCTTTTAGTTTTTATTGTTTTCAAATTTAAATTTTCAATATTTCGATTTTCAACGTTTAATTTTTCTATTTTTGGATTTTTGAATTTTTCGATTTTTAAGTTTCACGATTTTTCAATTCTTCCATTTTCAGTACTCATACTTTTAAGCTTTCAGTTGCTCAATTCTTCAGTTTTTCAGTTTTTGATTTTTCGATTTTTCAATTTTTCGATTTGCAATTGTCGGTTCTTAGAGCCAGTTTTGCAAAAATTCAGTTACATATTTAATTGCGATTAAATTTTTAATAAAGCGTTAAAGTACCACGTGACTCTAGGCCAATCAGACTTCCCTAAATGCCTCATTAAATACTTGATTAACTTAATATCAATTAAAATATTCTATAAACCGGCCCTCAGTTTTACAATTTGACAATTTTTCAATATTTAGAGTTTTAATTTTTCAATTTTGAGATTTTTCAATTTTAAGTTCAATTTTCAAATTTTTCAGTTTTTCTAAAATTTCGATTTTACTATTTTGCAATGTACCTACTTATTATAATATGTATTCAGATTTTTAGTTTTTAGACTTTTCAATTTTTCGATTATGATTTTTCAGTTTACGACTTTTTCAATTTTTTCAGTGTTCCGATTTTTCAGTTTACCCGAATTTTTATTTTCTTAATTTTCAGTCCTTTTCGTCCTAATTTTTTTGTGATTTCAAATTTAACTGTTCAATATTTCGATTTTCCAGCTTTTGAATTTTTCACTTGTTCAATTCTTCATTTTTTCAGTTTTTAGATTTTCTACAAAATGAATAAGAGTCCTAATTGTCAGTGTTTTCATATTTTTTAAATGTATTTTATAATATTGTCGAACATATTTCTAAATAAACTTTATTTTCAAATCAAATTTGTTGGAGTATACCTTAATTTTTTTTTAGGAATTATTATTAAGACACAATTTAGAAAAAATTTCGGTAAATCTGTTAAGATGAAACACCCTGTATATATTTTCTATTTTGTACCAGTTACTTTAGGAATAAAAATACTTCTTAATAAGTTTAGAGTAGTAATGTTAAATTTTTACATCTGGCGAGAGGCTAATTTCATGTTTTCTTGACGTTTCATGACCCACAGACTAAGAAAAAGTAGATCCCCGTTTCCGTCTGTTGTCTGCAGCTTGAAAATTAAAAAAATAAAGCAAGAAATCACGAATAAATTATTTGAATTGAAAAAAAAATGTCAAAAATTCAAACAGTAGCTAAATATACGAAAATTCTGACTTCTAAAGTAGACAATCCAATTGTGTCCCCAAAAATAAAGACGCTGCATACATCTGCCACCCCCTATATTCCATCAATAATGCACACACCTCAATCTAAACTTTTCACCCTGTATGCATCCAAACAAGCCCTCTAAAATTTAATCAACAGCGGTCTTCGCTCTTTGGCCTCTGCGGCAATCTTTTATTAAAGTCGTTATTGACTTCGAAAGTTTGTAAAACAACCAAAATAATCGTTACGTTCATCCCGGCAGGTTTTTAGCGCCTCGGAACTCGCCTTCCGGCTTTTCGAGCTTTATAATATCGCGAAAAGTATCCGAAACGAGGGGAAATAAAGCATCCGACGTCTTATTATAATGCCGTCCATGTTTTCGCACCCTCTTTCCGACTAGTCCCCGCTCGAAAAATTTAAATAGTAATCTGCACCGTGTGACATACTGACAAGTCATTGAAAAACGGTTTGAATAATTTTCCCATTACGAAAAAAATTGTCCGTTTTCCCAAAAACCAAAACTTTCGACAGTAAGTCGTCCATCACGTGGAATTTTTCCGAAAACAAAAAACGTGAAAGTCCCAGGTCGGTCGGTCAAATTCCTAAAACGAAAAGATGCAATTGACGTCATAGATCCGACGATTATCACCAAACTAAAATTTATTGGTTCAGCTCTCGTTCGATTTATTGTTATAGCCACTAGTTTGTATCGGAATAACGGATTTTGTCCACTCTTAAAAAACGATCATTACTTATTCCACCTTGTTAAAACTAATCCGATCGGTTAGGTAGATTTTTTTTGGTATGGCCTGTCACCAAATCGTAACATAGATGGCTAGTTAGATTTGCAAATGCGATAGATTTTAACAGAGGAATTTTCGCCCACTCGCCAGAAATAATGGCCGGCGACTTTCTTCTCTTTATATGCAAATGAGGAGGTTTGTTTAATGTCAAGTGCACGGTTTAACTCATTGTCAAGTCCGTTTTTGACTACGACGGTTGTTTGATTTTTGACAATCCGATTAAAAATTGCTTTCGTCAAAAAAACTCATCAGATTTCAGGTTGTTATTCACTTTTATTTTTTACAAGCGATTGGACTATTAATAAAATTCGTTTATTAATTAAAGTCGTTTGGAACAAATCTGTTTCAATAAAGGAAGATATTTCATTTAAATAATTAGTAGTTCGAAGATTAATTATCTCGCCATTTCTAATTCCAATTTGAAAAAAAATCAAATTTTATTACATAACTCCTAACATTCTAAAACACCAATCCGTGTTTAATAAAACTATCAAGATTGATTTTGGAACAAACAAGTCCTGTAATTATTGCGCTAAAAATTTTAAAGTTCAAAACAAATTGTTTTTTTGGAAACTTCAAATATATCATTATGCACAAAATAATCAAAAGTCCGAAAATACTGAACTTTCCGTAAATATTTTGAATATCTCAGCAACAAATAATTCTCGGAAAATTAATAATAAATATTACCCACAAATGTCGTAGTATTCCGACTCAAAGTGAATTAAACTCTTTAATGAGTGGCGTAAAACTTTTAATATTTTGTCGGAACTTTAAACACGTATGAAAACACTGAAACGTAATAAAACAAATAGTGTTTATAACCTTCAGTACTATTTGCGACTGTTAAGTAACGATATTTTCTTTGTGCGGCCTTTAAGTGCGTCAGTCGTAAAAACAAATCCAGAAAATTGGTCAATTCTCGAAGACAAACTTAAAACTTCGAAATATTTATCCAGAGAATCGCGATTTACAAAATCAGCGCGAAAGTCACTCAATTTTAATATAAAATTTAACCCCGACATTCTAAAATTTATTTCGGAAAAATGTTATTATTCTGTTTACATTTCCCGCCACCCGCTGAAGTAACAATAAATAAAAAAGTACGCCAAAGTAAGCAACTAATAAATCTTCCGAATAATTTATCGATCCGTTAAAAATGATTCGGAAAACCTATCCACTGTCAACGAAATCAAACCTGTTGGTCGTAACCCGAACGCAGTATCGACAGATCGCTGGCAAGTTACACTCTAAAAATACTCTAAACAGATATAAATACACCAATAACATACCCACTGCAATCGGTGTAAATTCGCAATAATAGAGTACCGCCAAGTCTGCTTTAATGTTTAAACATCGACCAGATCGACATGCCGGTCCGCCATCTTTTCAAATAAATAATTTTCTGGAAGAGGCAGGGCGCAAGTGCAAGTGGCGCAATGAAGGGCAGCAGAAATCCCTTGTTGGTGAATAAATGAGTGGAAGGCTGATTAATTCCACTCGAGGGGGCTGCTCGGGGTCGAGTTAACAAAAATTGCTTATTCATATTTACCGGAGAGGCGGCGGCGGCGGCCTTCGGGGGTTTTATTTTCGACCTTTTTATGTGTCGTTCGAAGGTTCCAGAAGTTTGGGTCGTGACGCAGAGCTATTTGTTGAGCGTTTTGGGCAGTTGAGAAGTTTGACGAGAATTTTGAAGTAAAAACACTATTCTTCAGTTTTTCAGTTTTTAATTTTTTGATTGTTTGACATTTTAATTTTTCATTTTTCAATTTGGAATTTTTCAATTTTTCGAATTTTTAAAATTGTGAAAAAATTCAGGGACGTAGATCTCAACGTGCTGATTCCAAAAATATAACCTGTTGATGGTCGCGGAGCGACATTTTCGAAAGAATCTGTACGAAATTGCGAATTTTTCAAAATTTCAAAAATTTCGATATTTCAAGCGTCGATTCTGGAGAAACGGCGGCAGCTATCAAAGAATCGAGACCGGAAGTGAGTTCTAGGGCTCGAAATATACAAGAAAATGTATTCAGTTAGGTTTCGAAAATGTCAAAATTTGGTCGATAATTGAAGAAGGGGGGACCATTGGAAAAATTTCAATTTTAAAAACACTCGTCTAAAAATTGTGAAAAAATTCAGGGACGTAGATTTCGACGTGCTGATTCCAAAAATATAACTTGTTGATGGTCGCGGAGCGACATTTTCGAAAGAATCTGTACGAAATTGCGAATTTTTCAAAATTTCAAAAATTTCGATATTTCAACCGCCGATTTTGGAGAAACGGTTGCAGCTATCAAAGAATCGAGGCCGGAAGTGAGTTCTAGGGCTCGAAACCTACCATTAAATGTTTTCAGTTAGGTTTCGAAAATGTCAAAATTTGGCCGAAAATTGAAGAAGGAAAAATTTCAATTTTAAAAAAAGTCGTCTAAAAATTATGAAAAAATTCAGGGACGTAGATCTCGACGTGCTGATTCCAAAAATATAGCCTGTTGATGGTCGCGGAGCGACATTTTCGAGCATCGATTCGAAATTGCGAATTTTTCGAAATTTCAAAAATTTCGATATTTCAACCGCCGATTCTGGAGAAACGCTTGCCGCTAACAAAAAATCGAGGCCGGAAGTGAGTTCTAGGGCTCGAAATCTACAAGGAAATGTGTTCAGTTAGGTTTCGAAAATGTCAAAATTTGGCCGAAATGTGAAGAAGGGGGGACCATTGGAAAAATTTCAATTTTAAAAAAGTCGTCTAAAAATTGTGAAAAAATTCAGGGACGTAGATCTCGACGTGCTGATTCCAAAAATGTAGCCTGTTGATGGTCGCGGAGCGACATTTTCGAAAGAATCGATACGAAATGGCGAATTTTTCGAAATTTCAAAAATGTCGATATTTCAACAGCCGATTCTGGAGAAACGGTTGCGCTATCAAAAAATCGAGGCCGGAAGTGAGTTCTAGGGCTCGAAATCTACAAGAAAATGTGCTCAGTTAGGTTTCGAAAATGTCAAAATTTGGCCGAAATTTGAAGAAGGGGGGACCATTGGAAAAATTTCAGTTTTAAAAAAGTCGTCTAAAAATTGTGAAAAAATTCAGGGACGTAGATCTCGACGTGCTGATTCCAAAAATGTAGCCTGTTGATGGTCGCGGAGCGACATTTTCGAAAGAATCGATACGAAATGGCGAATTTTTCGAAATTTCAAAAATTTCGATATTACAATCGCCGATTCTGGAGAAACGCTTGCCGCTATCAAAAAATCGAGGCCGGAAGTGAGTTCTAGGGCTCGAAATCTACAAGGAAATGTGTTCAGTTAGGTTTCGAAAATGTCAAAATTTTTCCAAAATTTGAAGAAGGGGGGACCATTGGAAAAATTTCAATTTTAAAAAAGTCGTCTAAAAATTGTGAAAAAATTCAGGGACGTAGATCTCGACGTGCTGATTCCAAAAATGTAGCCTGTTGATGGTCGCGGAGCGACATTTTCGAAAGAATCGATCCGAAATGGCGAATTTTTCGAAATTTCAAAAATTTCGATATTTCAATCGCCGATTCTGGAGAAACGCTTGCCGCTATCAAAAAATCGAGGCCGGAAGTGAGTTCTAGGGCTTGAAATCTACAAGAAAATGTGTTCAGTTAGGTTTCGAAAATGTCAAAATTTGGCCGAAATTTGAAGAAGGGGGGACCATTGGAAAAATTTCAGTTTTAAAAAAGTCGTCTAAAAATTGTGAAAAAATTCAGGGACGTAGATCTCGACGTGCTGATTCCAAAAATATATCCTGTTGATGTTCGCGCAGCGACATTTCCGAAAGAATCGATACGAAATTGCGAATTTTTCGAAATTTCAAAATTTTCGATATTTCAACCGCCGATTCTGGAGAAACGCTTGCCGCTAACAAAAAATCGAGGCCGGAAGTGAGTTCTAGGGCTCGAAATCTACAAGGAAATGTGTTCAGTTAGGTTTCGAAAATGTCAAAATTTGGCCGAAATGTGAAGAAGGGGGGACCATTGGAAAAATTTCAAATTTAAAAAAGTCGTCTAAAAATTGTGAAAAAATTCAGGGACGTAGATCTCGACGTGCTGATTCCAAAAATGTAGCCTGTTGATGGTCGCGGAGCGACATTTTCGAAAGAATCGATACGAAATGGCGAATTTTTCGAAATTTCAAAAATTTCGATATTTCAACCGCCGATTCTAGAGAAACGGTTGCCGCCATCAAAAAATCGAGGCCGGAAGTGAGATCTAGGGCTCAAAATCTACAAGAAAATGTATTCAGTTAGGTTTCGAAAATGTCAAAATTTGGCCGAAATTTGAAGAAGGGGGGACCATTGGAAAAATTTCAATTTAAAAAAAATCGTCTAAAAATTGTGAAAAAATTCAGGGACGTAGATCTCGACGTGCTGATTCTAAAAATATAGCCTGTTGATGGTCGCGGAGCGACATTTTCGAAAGAATCGATACGAAATTGCCAATTTTTCGAAATTTCAAAAATTTCGATATTTCAACCGCCGATTCTGGAGAAACGGTTGCAGCTATCAAAAAATCGAGGCCGGAAGTGAGATCTAGGGCTCGAAATCTACAAGAAAATGTATTCAGTTAGGTTTCGTAAATGTCAAAATTTGGCCGAAATTTGAAGAAGGGGGGACCATTGGAAAAATTTCAATTTAAAAAAAATCGTCTAAAAATTGTGAAAAAATTCAGGGACGTAGATCTCGACGTGCTGATTCTAAAAATATAGCCTGTTGATGGTCGCGGAGCGACATTTTCGAAAGAATCGATACGAAATTGCGAGTTTTTCGAAATTTCAAAAATTTCGATATTTCAACCGCCGATTCTGGAGAAACGGTTGCAGCTATCAAAAAATCGAGGCCGGAAGTGAGTTCTAGGGCTCGAAATCTACAAGTAAATGTGTTCAGTTAGGTTTCGAAAATGTCAAAATTTGGCCGAAATTTGAAGAAGGGGGGACCATTGGAAAAATTTCAGTTAAAAAAAAATCGTCTAAAAATTGTGAAAAAATTAAGAGACGTAGATCTCGACGTGCTGATTCCAAAAATATAACCTGTTGATGGTCGCGGAGCGACATTTTCGAAAGAATCGATATGAATTTGCGAATTTTTCGAAATTTCAAAAATTTCGATATTTCAACCGCCGATTCTGGAGAAACGGTTGCAGCTATCAAAAAATCGAGGCCGGAAGTGAGTTCTAGGGCTCGAAATCTACAAGAAAATGTGTTCAGTTAGGTTTCGAAAATGTCAAAATTTGGCCGAAATTTGAAGAAGGGGGGACCATTGGAAAAATTTCAATTTAAAAAAAATCGTCTAAAAATTGTGAAAAAATTCAGGGACGTAGATCTCGACGTGCTGATTCCAAAAATATGGCCTGTTGATGGTCGCGGAGCGACATTTTCGAAAGAATCGATACGAAATTGCGAATTTTTCGAAATTTCAAAAATTTCGATATTTCAACCGCCGATTCTGGAGAAACGGTTGCAGCTATCAAAAAATCGAGGCCGGAAGTGAGTTCTAGGGCTCGAAATCAACAAGAAAATGTCTTCAGTTAGGTTTCGAAAATGTCAAAATTTGGCCGAAATTTGAAGAAGGGGGGACCATTGGAAAATTTTCACTTTTGAAAAAGTCGTTTAAAAATTCTGAAAAAATTCAGGGACGTAGATCTCGACGTGCTGATTCCAAAAATATAGGCAGTTGGTGGTCGCGGAGCGACATTTTCGAAAGAATCGATACGAATTTGCGAATTTTTCGAAATTTCGAAAATTTCGAGATTTCAACCGCCGATTCTGGAGAAACGGTTGCAGCTATCAAAAAATCGAGGCCGGAAGTGAGATCTAGGGCTCGAAATCTACAAGAAAATGTATTCAGTTAGGTTTCGAAATGTCAAAATTTGGCCGAATTTTGAAGAAGGGGGGACCATTGGAAAAATTTCAATTAAAAAAAAAATCGTCTAAAAATTGTGAAAAAAATCAGAGACGTAGATCTCGACGTGCTGATTCCAAAAATATAACCTGTTGATGGTCGCGGAGCGATATTTTCGAAAGAATCGATACGAAATTCCGAATTTTTCGAAATATTAAAAATTTCGATATTTCAACCGCCGATTCTGGAGAAACGGTTACAGCTATCAAAAAATCGAGGCCGGAAGTGAGTTCTAGGGCTCGAAATATACAAAAAAATGTATTCAGTTAGGTTTCGAAAATGTCAAAATTTGGCCGAAATTTGAAGAAGGGGGGACCATTGGAAAAATTTCAATTTTAAAAAAATCGTCTCAAAATTGTGAAAAAATTCAGAGAGGTAGATCTCGACGTGCTGATTCCAAAAATATAACCTGTTGATGGTCGCGGAGCGACATTTTCGAAAGAATCGATACGAAATTGCGAATTTTTCA